TGTTTTTAAAGTTAAAAAAACAAAACGCAAAAAAAATAAAACAAAGTTTAAATCCAAAGGCCATTCATCATCTAAAGTTAATATTTGTCTTACAGTAACTAATAAGTTAGTTTRTTTACTTATCATCAGTTCACTTAATATTATTATTTGTAGTCGAATAAAACTATAGATGATTCAAAAGAAATAAATTATGCTAACAACTATGCTCCAAATAATCTCGAAAAATCATATTTAAATAATCCAGTTGCATTTATGAAGAGCGATATTAAGCTAGGTATTTAAATATTTAAATAAGAGAAATCATATAATTTAAACTTCAACTTTTTATTAGAACCTAAAAATAATAGAAGTTTATCTTCTGAAGATAGCTCAGACAGTGAAAGYATTAACTGTTTTTCTAATCATGGCAYACAATTGAAGACTGAACAATATGACGGTGCTTCTTGTTCAAGAACAGTTGATTCTGATTCAAATGCATCAGATGATTATYCTTCAAAGACTTATAGAACTGTTGAAGATAATGWAATGAGCAACAAGGGAATGTCTTTAATGGTGATTATTAAAGACACTTATWAATTACTAATTAAAATAATTAATTTGTTGAAAATARTATCTAACATTAAGGCATGATAATTATTTCATTTCTAGAAAAAAAGTGGTTACAAAGAAGGTGAAGGATTGGGGAAAAATGCTCAGGGATTGGTGAATCCAGTGCAGTTACCTACTCAAAAAGGTCGTAGAGGTTTGGGTTTTGCATCACGAGAGCCAAGAGAATCTTTTGTTTTGGACTGGGATCCTGAACAAGAAGAAGTAAATATTACATCAATGTTTATAGAAAATTAAATATATTTAATTTATAATTAWAGTCGGCAGATATTTTAAAAGTCAATGAATGGTTAGAAAATGAAGATCCTCTGACATTATCAATTGAGGATATGAATTATTGGCTTGAAACTGGTGAGAAAAAATTGACGTATAATCAAACAACAGAGTTTGCTGATTCAGAAATTTTTAAAGTTGTTAATTGTAGCAAGGTATATTTTTATGTTTTTCAAAGTATCTTATTATTTATCTATAATATAAAAATTTGTTCATATTATATAGAATGTTTTGGATAATATTGATGATCATGATTTTCGTCATGCTAGAACTAAAGCAAATCCATTTGAAACAGTGAAAAATGGAATATTCCAAAACCGAGCTGCAATGAAAATGGCTAATATTGATTGGGCATGCGATTTCATGTTTACTGATCCYAAATACAACGATGGTGTATGTTTGCTTATATTTTTGTGTTACATTTTTGCTTATGATAATTATTATAATTTTAGTCACCTATGCTAACAAGTCCAAGTAGTTTACTCTATTTTGCTGAYATATGTGCTGGACCTGGAGGTTTTTCCGAATATGTCTTATGGCGAAAAAGTTGGAAAGCAAAAGGTGTAGGATTTACACTACGTAATGCTAACGATTTCAAATTGAATGACTTTTATGCTGGTTCTCCTGAGTCATTTGAAGCATTTTATGGTAAGCATAACTATACAATACATAAATAAATAATAAAAAAAAAGTTTGATGTGATTTGACTTAACTTTCAAATGCATTATTTTACATACATTTAAAAGAATTTATAGAAAATTTTAATTTTGATATATTTTTATTTCATGTTAACTATAATAATTATTAATACTTAACTTTTAAGTATATACAAATAATAAAT